CTTGCTTATCTTCTTATTATGAGGTTCCACGTGTCCAGGAGAATTCTGGACCCTCCAAAGCCCTTGAAGTCAATGATGAGAAGGGCGTTTCATTTTGAGCACAGAAAAATGTGGATTTTGGGCTACTTTTGAAATCTGAAAGTTGGGGATTTTTTAAATCAAAGAACACCAGGATCCCTGATGATGAGTCACACTGAACTCAGCAAACTTAGCAAGTTTTGACCCCTGCCATCGATCTTGGTACCATTAAAGTCAAACTCAAAGGTCCCGTAGACTTGAATGGGGCTTGGATTAATAATGGAGAGAAAAATGAAAAGGTAAAATCACGTCACTGGGCTGATTGAAAATTATTTTTTCGTGTGTGCATATATAGCCAAATATAAAGTAGGAGAACATTATTTTTTATTTTTTCAGTGACCTGTTGAGGCTAAAACATGTTCTAGGTCAGACTGGTGGCTGTGTCAAAGGAAAATTGAAAAAAAGAAAAAAAGAAAGAAGGAGAAACAAAATTAAAACTCCTTTAAAGGATTGGTTTGCTTACTTGCTTTTATTTTTTCTCCTTTCTTTTCTAAGAACAAAGGGAATGAGAGACTACTTCTTAAAAACGTTGTTTACAAAGTGGATTTTTCCAAAAGAGTTATAACTGTGCTGCTTTCCTTACAGTAGATTTCCTGAAAAGAAGTTTTTCAGTTTCAGATGACAAATGAGTATCATTACTGTAGCATGGACCTCATGGTGCAAAATCCAATGAGCTCTCAACCATCAATGAAATAAATGGAGGTTGTGCACATTCAGAACCTCAAAGGGTTGAGTTCTATTTGCAGTATTCCCTATGATACAGAGAAAATACTGTAATAATAAGGTACTGTTCTTAAATGACTGAAGGCTTAATAAAAATGTTGTTAACATTCATTGGAGTAGGGAGTGAAACCCAGGTCTCTCTTTCCCCCGAGCATGCTTACTCTCTCACAGGCTCAAGGATTATTCATTTATTTCATGTAAAGTGGGGAAGTTTCAACAAGAGGGACTTTCTGCTTCAGATCGTTTGGAGTTCTGGCCTGGTAGTTGCAGCATTCATATGGAAGAGCTAGTTTCACATCCCCTTGGGTAAAGAAGGGAATTGAACCTAGGGTGTCCACATTCTGGATGAGTGTCTAACTATTGGTGCACTGTAGGACAGGCAGTACCTCATTCTCTAACTGAGAAAGAGTTGGTTTAGGAGTGTAAATTCAGGAGACAGCTCAAAACTGTTGGAGGCTAGCACCTCGCTGTAGCCCAGAATAAGAATCCTAAATTCCTGAGAGGGGCCAGTACTCTCCTCAGCATATTCTCCTGGTTAGTTAAGGGACACCCTGCTCAACACACTGAGTTTTATGAATCATATTGTAAAGCACTCCCATTCATTTTGTAATGACTACAGGTACCTAATTTGGAGCCGTGGGTGCCAGTAGCTAGTAAGGCACCAAAATTTAGGTGCTGCAATAGTCACGGTTGTGTCACCTAAATCCTTTGTGGGGCCTAGGTGTATGAGGACAGAAAAAAAATATCTGAAGATATAGTAGGGTTGGGGTGGTGCTGTAGCTGTGACAGTCCAGGAAATATGGAAGCAAGATTACTTTGGTGATATCTTTTGTTGGACAAGCTTTTACTTGGGAGACCTTGCTTCAGGAGATATATGATTTTGGTAAAATCCCAGCACTGTGGAGAGAGTCAGTACAAGCTCTGTGTGCTAATCTAGTCTTATTTAAGACTTGCAGGAATATTCAGCAAGATACTTAAGGGTCTACTGCTTTCCTTACAGTAGATTTCCTGAAAAGAAGCTTTTCAGTTTCAGAGGACAAGTGAACATCATTACCATAGCATGGACCTCATGGTGCAAAATCCAATGAGCTCTCAACCATCAGTGAAATAAATGGAGGTTGTGCACATTCAGAACCTCAAAGGATTGAGCTCTATTTGCAGTATTCCCTATGATACAGAGAAAATACTGTAATAATAAGGTACTGTTATTTAATGATTGAAGGCTTAATAAAATTTTTGTTAACATTCATTGGAGTAGGGGGTGAAACCCAACACAAGGGTAGTCGCATTGAAGTCTTAAGTAGGGCCTTCATTGAAACTTCTGTTGTGTATGCCTAACACAAAGGGAGGAAGTTCACCCTGTGTGTATTCCTGTGTGCAAAAACCATGCTATTATGCTACTGTGCACTAGTATTAGGCTACTGCATAGTAAGCATTACTAAAAAACTGTGCGTTGGAGCTACTGTGCAGTAACTGTTGTTACTGAGCCTTTAGTTAATACTTCATTAAGCAAGGGCATCTGGGCCCAAAAGGTGGCAAAGAAATACTTTTTTTTTTTCTAATATTTAGTTGGTCTAATAAGAGTTTTGTCTGCCAGTAAGTACTGTGGGTTAATAAACATGTAGATGTGCCCAGAGAGAGGGATTTAACACTAGGAGAATGAGAAAACTGGGTACTCAGACTAACCACTTTGAATCTTCTCACTTCTGAATTCTTCACTAATACCATCTTTGCTATCACCAGTCCACTGAAGCCAAGGGAATATTAAGATGTACTTAGTCTATTTAACAAGAATTATGATTTAAAGTAAAAGACTCAAAATAATTTGAGGAAAGCTAAGAAGAAGGAGGAACACAGTTTGAGCATCAGAATGCCCAATTTAAGAAAATCTCTATAAACTCTGTTTTCAGTTTTCATATGACAAAACATGTTATATACTCTCAAAATTCTCCTTGGCAATTCACACTCCATCATATGAATATATATAAGAGAAGAGAATTATACCTTAATTTATTAACTTTGGCATTTTTACCTTACAGTATGCTTGTATGTTTGACATTCTTGGAAAACATAAAAATATCTGTCTCTATAAACAGAGATAGATACTCATGTGTAGAGTGGTATCTATCTATGCATTTATCTGCATATACACTTTAAAGAAAGTTAGCTTGTTTGCCTGGTGAGTGTTTACAAGCTGACTCAGCTCTATTTTTTTGTTTATGCCATCAAATGTAATAGGTTTGTTTCACATGTTAGATCAGTCTTGCTAAAAATTTACAGCAAACCTGAAAATCTCAACAATATTTAATTACAGTTTTTCCTCAGAGTTCTTATGGAAAATTATTGCAATTAAAATCCCAAATTAGGTCTTATCTCATGTGCTATCTAGAAAGTTAGACTATTCACGATAACCACCATAACCACAATACCTAATTGACATAAGCCACCCACATTAACTTCACAAGGTTTTCCAAAATACTGTGGTTTTCATGCCAGCTCCTAACAGATATCAGTTTCTTACTACCTTAAAATTATTTTTAAATTTCTCCTCAGAAGCAGGAGATTGCTCTTAGTCTGTTCTCTGTCCTGCTAATTTAGTTTTGAAATTAGCTTGCCATGAAAAATAATAAAATAATAGCTTATAACAGTGGTGCTCAACCTCTGGTCAATGGGACATATCTCGCCTATGAGGCCATGTCATCTAATTTGTGGGTCTCCTCATGGGTTCAAAAATTTTGCAGTGGTGGAGCAGGGGCAGGATTAATTGTAGCTTCTCAGCTGCCTAATTTTACTCTGCAGCCGAATCCTGTGTGTGGTATTAGGCCTACTTGCTGGATCATATGAGCAGATTGACACCCTGCACCTGCCCCATGCTGGATTAGGCCTGTGTCACTCATCTGGCTTCTGCCACTCCTCTGGCTTATAATAAAAAATAGAACCATTTCTAGGGCCACTTCCTATAGGTCTTTACTTAGGGGCAACTCTCATTGGCATTACTTGAGTAAAGACTTCTAAGACTAGAAATTGAGGCTTAGACCCTACAATGAACTTTGTGTGGGTGCACCTCAATGCCCACATAGATGCTTGCTAAAAAAAAAATTGGCTTCAAGCATAGCCAAAAGTCGCCTATATAGTTGGGGTTTTTTTTGCAAGGCTGAGATATTTGTGAGATGTACAGTGAAAGCTGCAGTAAGCGTTACATCTATTATAAGACCACTTGCTTAAGTAACCATTTACAATTATCTCTAGGATTTTTAATACAATTTTATTTAACCTTTAATGAAGAACTACCTCTGCTAGGCAAATTCTTTTTCATTGTGCTTTTCATAGTCACTTAAAACAGGTTTCACTGTGTGCACATCTGTAGGGGTGTGTGTGTATGTGTATATAAGCTACATGTATAAGCTGTCTTCCTTTATATAGTGTTAAGCAGATGTCTTCTGCTTCACTGTATGGGTACAATACTTCCAGTAAGGACATTGGTAATCATAATAGATACATAATAGAAAGCAAGAAGACAATGTCCTTGTCCCTCCACTTTTTAATAAAAGAATATAATGATATAGGCCGAGAACCACATGACATACCAAATGGAACCTGCCATCTCTGCTATTTGGTATACAGCTCTTATTCCTCTTCTTTTATCCCTATGCTTAGAAGAAAAGCATTCTTTTTAGCAACTCAAGACAGAATTTCCTGAAAATCCCTTTTTGGTGCATCTTTATTGTTCTGCAGACTCACTGGCAGCTGATGGCTCGATTTAATAAATTATGCAGCTAAAACTTTATTCTACATTAGTTTTCGCGTTTAAATTATGGCGTGCAGAAGGACAGCCTTCACTTGCTGTGTTTTCAAAAAATGGATACTGTCTCTTTAATGAAAGAAAAAAGTCAGTATGTTTCCCAAATGTAAATGCAATACGGAATAACACATAGCTGTGGTTATGTTATATGACATTTGGCGTAGCGGTATTAACATATTGCACAAACTCTGGGTTTTCCCTACTGTGGAAAATAAGACAGTAAAAGACATGGGAGATATTTCATATGACTGTAAAATAAATATTATTCTTTTTTTCCCTCTTTTTTTGTCACTTGTTTGCAGAAATATTTTAGTCTTATCTGTGTTTAAGCCAGTGCTTCATCATGTATGTAATATGCATACAGTACAAGGAGAAATGGAACAAGATGGCAGTTACAGCAGTGGCAAGATGCAAATTTATTTTGGCAAAAAAGTAATATGTGCACAATATCAAGCATGCTTAAGTTTGTGCCAGGAAAACTATTACGAATGAGGAATGGATGAAATGAAACTTTGCATCATACATGATTATGTGTTATTTAACTTCATAAAAGAGTCTTTGTCTACTTGTGATTTCCTAGCTGCCCCCAAAAGAAGCTGCATACCACACTCCTGGGGCTGATGTACCTGGTTGGAATGGTAACAAATATCATAGCAGTAGTAATCCCAGGAACATGGTTTTTTTTTTCCTTAAATGAAGGAAATATACCAAAAGTATGTCAGAGAATTCACAGACCATTTAACTGCAGGCACTGACTCAGGGTGAGGGTAGGGGGAGTATTTTATTACATTTTATACTTAATAATTAAGATTTTGTAATTGCTTCCTGCTTCATTTTGTCCAACTTTAATTTGGCTATTTTATGCATTTGATGATGTTACCACTGTTTTTTCCTCAGCTGTGTTTCTCCTATATAGTATGACATGTTACTGAGTGTAGTTAAGCAGTGGAGAAGTCATAATTTTCACTGACACCATTTGAAAACACCTTTAAAGAAAAGCAAAAGGATTGGGGTCGAGAAGAAGTGGTGAGAGAGTAAGAGAAAGAGAAAAGGCAGAAGAGAGACATGGTGAGAGAGAAAACAATATTCCTTAAAGATCGTTCTCCACATTAGGTGTCACCATGAGGCAAAATAGGGTAGAGTGAACAGAAATGGTAACTCTTCTTCATATGCCAGTTTAACTGGGATGAATAGGACTTGCTACTATATTGGTGCGGTGTAAAAATAGGTGACTAGGGGTAACAGTGAGAACAAAAATAAATGAATAACATCACAGAAATGGATGTTGAATGGCCTTTGCACAGCAGAGGTAGATAAAGGTTATAACAAACTGTTTACTGACCATATACACTTAATATAATTAAGAGGTCAGTTGAACAAGAGCTCACCTAGTAGGCGCTTTCTCAGTAGTGTGACTTATAATCTATCATTCAATACCACAACAATGCCCAGTTATTGCTCCACTACTTCAATAATATTCCCATCCTTTTTTAATCTACATTCTACCATTAATTAAGGCTTTTTCATTTACATTTCTACATTTTTCCACAGTTTGCATCAGTTCAATGTAATTAACACATGTGCCTCTAACAGAAAAAAAAAGCACCATGTTTTATTGAACAGAATATCATATGTTTGGGGAAGGGAAAGGTGGAGAGTTATGGAAACAAACCAGAGCTGAAAAATTTCGCATTTTGGTGCTTTTTTTGTATTTGCACAGATCATCTTAGGATCTTTAGTCCCAGTCATAGTAAAACACTATCAAAACAAATGTTTTTGCAAAATATTTGAGCTTTTACATCTTAACAAATGCAGTTTGAACTGCTTAAGCAGTAAGATTTTTTTTCCAGTATTTTACAGACTGTAAAATGTGAATAAAAACACATACCTATGCACCAGTGATTAAATACTCTTATAACAGAAATATTTATCAAGGGGTATTTCATAGCTAGAAAGTTATAACTAAATTGTATTTGCTAAGAGAACATTTCCTATAGTTTTCCTTCATCTCCCAGCTACACAGCAAACATCTCTAAAGTGCACTTTCTAAGTGTAGTTAGAGAATAGGAAGGAATGTAAAGTTTTTAAAAACAGCCCTTATTAACTTTTCCTTCCATTGATTCTACTGTAAACTCTAAAAAGCCTTTTTAAAAAGCAAATTCTCATACACTCAGCAGGTGAAATGTTCCCACACAAAAAAGAAAAAAAAAGGCAATCAGTTTACAATCCTTTCCCTTGACTACCAATATCCTATTATATTCTTTGCTGTTTTATTGCACATTTATGAAAATGCTTGATTTATTTATTAAAAAAGCAGATTCTTTAGCTGTGCTAACATAACACACTGCACCCTTAATAACTGGAATAGCTTTCAACAGCATATAGCTATTAGAAAAACAATAGATTCAAAATTGTACACGCATTTTGTATTGTTGGTGGTCAAGTGCTTCTACTGTAGCTTCATTAGAACAAAAAAGATTTGTTTTTCCTGAAAACCTTTGTTCCCATATGTTGTGGATATTTGCTGGTTACGTGACTTCAGTGGAACTCAAAACGTAATTCACAATGAATGCCAATCTTTAACCTCCAATGTGAAGGTTTCCTGACTATTAACTCGCTGAGCTTAACTAGTTTCACATACTGCATCTGAAAAGGCTGCTCCTGTTCAACTGACCAGCGAGAAAGGACTGGACTTTTTGGAAATGGGATTTGGAATAACAGTTTGTTATATATATCTTTACATAAAAATTTGTTAACTGTCTGATCCCACCTTATAAGGAGAGCACTTGTTTGTTCAGCTAAAAGGAACCCCCATCATGCTCCCTTTGGGTTTGCTCAGTCAGCTGGTTTGTGCAACAGTGGCAGAGGTACACCGGAATTAGGTGTACCCATTCATTGTGATTACACAGACAGAAGCAAGTGGATGTTGTCTGCTAACAGGAGATGGGAAAGGGAGGAGGAGAAGAATGGTTTCCATGGGTAAAAGGACAGTAAGGTATTATTTTTTTGTGGTTTTTTGTTGGGTTTTTTTGTTGTTTTTTTGTTGTTTTTTAGCTATGTCATGGAATCATAGCAGTCATTCCTCTAATAGAAACTGACAGGACATAAAAGACAGAACTATCAGATGAACACACACAATGACTAGAAATATATCGACAGTGAAAAGACTTAGTTTAGCTTTGAGAAACCATCCCAAAAATAAAATCCTGTATTAACAAGTGCAAAAACAAACAAAAAAGAAACTCCAAACATTAAAACACAGTGTATAAAATGGTGTGAGAAATTTAAGTCACCATACAGCCTTTTAGTCAATAAAAAGCTGTGTTCATGTGTCCTTGTTTGGATTGTGGCCCATCCTTTTAATTTTACCCAGAAGGCCTTTCAAGAAGTGATCTGAGGGTAAAAGCACCCAGTCTCTGTTATATTTGACTGTAGTACATTTGGGCCTCTTGTATGTCTATCACATTTTATGAATCCTTTCTTTTATTCTTCATTAGTTGAATTATCGTCCATAGTTGTTATGCCTCCAAAGCCCAGTCCTGTTGAGTTCTGTGCTGCTGAGACTGTAAGTACTGTATGTAAGAGAATTAATACAAGAACACACAGTTTAAGTCTGCTATTACACAGTCTTGATGCTGATGAAACTGTGAGCGATGTCCTGTGACACATCGTTGAGTCACTTGATTTTATAGTCCCTTTGGATTGGTGATCTGATAATAGTCCCCATCTGACATCACAGCATTCTGGTTCTGCATTGGTTGGATAGTTTTCATAGAGCCCTGTAGAATAAACATTACAGAACATTAATGCCATGTACAGAATGGACTTTTCTAGACTCAGCTATTAGTTCCAGGTCTGGCCTTTGTGGATTTTAGGAACTGTTGAGGTGTTAAAGTTAGTCTACCCAGAGGGATAATGAAATAGCTTTCAGAAGAACTGCATAAAATGTGAAAATGGATGTCATGCCGATTCATTCCTACTATGAACCTGCTAAAGGCTGAAAAAATGTAATGCAGCCACTGTTTGGTACCTGGGACACTCATTCTCAAGCATGTTTATCAGTCTGGACATTTTCTCAGCATTTGATATACACAGAATATGACTGACTGGGTAGGATGTAAGTTCATGATGGCCCTCCTAACCATAGTCAGTGGTGAATAAATATATCCTCATGTCTATTTTTGTTCTGATTTGGACAGATATTAGTACATGTTTAGCCATTTGGTGGAAAATGGTACAAGTACATTGACTTTACAGAAATATATTTTTTAAAGATCTGCTCATAATGGTACACAATCCACTTAAGAGTCTCAATTCTAACCAAGTTCCTCTGATTCAGTTCTCTGTACTTTGTTGTGTACACTCCAGAATAAAAACCCTATAATTACTAGAGTTGTCTAGACAGTGCTGTAGCAAGGGGGGGCAAGCGGAGTTTCATAGTTTCATAGTAGGAAGGGTCAGAAGGGACCTGAGCAGATCATCAAGTCCAACCCCCTGCCATGGCAGGAAAGAATGCTGGGGTCAAACGACCCCGGCTAGGTGGTTGTCTAGCCTCTTTTTGAAGACCCCCAGGGTAAGAGCAAGTACCACTTCCCTAGGAAGTTGGTTCTAGATCCTAACTGCCCTGACTGTGAAGTAGTCCCTCCTGATATCTAGCCTGAATCTACTCTTGGCCAGCTTATGGCCATTGTTCCTCATTACTCCGGTAGTGCTCAGGGGAACAAGGACTCCCCCATAGCCTGCTGGTCCCCCTTAGCCAGTTTACAGATGGCCACCAGATCCCCTTTCAGCCTTCTCTTGTGAAGACTGAACAGGTCCAGGTCCTGTAGCTCCACTCGTAGCGCCTGCCTTGCTGCCCTTGATCATGCGAGTGGCTCTCCTCTGGACCCTCTCGATGCTGTCCACATCCCTTCTGAAGTGCAGTGCCCAGAACTGGACATAGTACTCCAACTGCGGCCTGACCAGTGTCGCATAGAGGGGGAGGATCACCTCCTTGGACCTGCTCATGATGCATCTGTGGATGCATGACAAGGTGCAGTTAGCCTTCCTAACAGCGTCTCCACATTGGCAGCCCATGTTCATTTTGGAATCAATAAGGACACCAAGATCCTTTTCTGCCTCTGTGCTGATGAGAAGGGAGTTCCCCAGCCTGTAGGTATGCTGCTGGTTCTTTCTCCCTAAGTGCAGTACCTTGCACTTGTCAGTATTGAATCCCATCCTGTTCTTATCTGCCCACCCCTGTAACCTGTCTAGATCTAGTTGCAGCCTATCCCTCTCCTCCAGCGTGCCCACTTCCCCCCATATCTTAGTGTCATCCTCAAATTTGAACATGGTGCTTTTCACCCCCTCGTCCAAGTTGCTGATGAAGATGTTGAACAGTGCGGGCCTGAGGACCGAGCCCTGGGGGACCCCACTGCCCACATCCCTCCAGGTCAAAAAAGACCCATCCACCACCACTCTCTGGGTGTGGCCCTCCAGCCAATTTGCGACCCATCTGACTGTATAGGCATCGACACCACAGTCACCTAATTTCTTAATGAGAATGGAGTGAGAGACAGTGTCGAAGGCCTTCCTAAAGTCTAGAAAGACTATGTCCACTGCAACACCTGCATCCATTGATTTTGTGACCTTGTCATAGAAGGCCACCAGGTTGGTCTGACAGGACCTGCCTTGAATGAACCCATGCTGGTTGCCCCTAAGCATGATCTCCCCTGCTGGCCCCTTACAGAGGTGACTGCCCTGGGACAGCAAAGGGATGCCAAAAGGTGCTGCCCAGGCAGGGCGGTGCACAGGATGGAGCCATGAGTGGGTTGTTTGGTGGGGCGTGGGGATGGGGGGAGGGCAGGTCCTACCACTGCATACACTCCCAGGCAAGCATGGCGGGGGGCATGTGCCCCCCAGATTTGTGCACAGGGCAAGGGTGTGCTGCCACTGTGGGTTTTTCCTCCAGGTGCCAAACTTTGTTGGTGCAGCACTGTGTCTAAAATTCAGGTAAATAGCAAGCCATCAGGCAATTCTCTATTTTCTTACTATTTGAATTGTATAGCAGTAATGAACCTTACATGATTATGTAATTTGAATCATAAGGAAGTAAGTTTGGAAGGGACTTCCGGGTCATCTAGTCCTATCCCCTGCCTGAAGCAGAGTCATCCTTATCCAAAACATCCTATACAAATCCATTGTCCAACTTCTTAGCAAAGCTACACAATCAGCTCTAATGTAACACAAGACATAACACCGTAACCTGTCACAGGTAAAGCAGCGGGTACATGGCAGCCAATGTCCTGCTGTTCTATATTTTTTGATTGTATTCTTAACAGATCCTAGGAAGTTGGTTATATACCATGCTATACAGGATGGCAAAACCCTCCGCAGTCCATACCAATTTAACCATGGGGTAAAATACCATCCTGAATTTTGGAATATCTATTTCTACACTTCCCAACAATTGAAATGCTATACAAGTTGTTATATTTTGGGTCAGTAATGAAACAATGTATTAATTTTTTCCCATAAATGTGTTTTACAGAGAACGTGATTTGGAGTTGGAATTGCAAAAGCAGTAAGTTTAAATAATGGCCCCAAATCCTTCCTTAAACTGGTAAATTAAGGAAATATGGTCTTTATAAATAAAATACAGTTCAACATAGCATCATAAATTCACATTATGAAGGTTATACGTATTGCAAAAAGTAACCTAAAGCTGTACTAAAATTTTTGGACAAGGCTTTTTAATAAGAATAGATTTCTACTCATTGTAAACTGAACTCTTTTCTAGAAAAAGGCCTGTCTTTTTTATCTGTCTATTGTTGAAATATACTAACACTTACACAGTAGCTGTCCAAGACTGGTAAAGGGAGGTGTAGGTGTATCTTTAAGGATCTTAGGCCCAAATCATATATTGCTTGTATTTTATTAATACCTGGCACAAAGGAAAGCTGCATCGCATAAAATAAGATAAAACTGAGCCTTTTCGTCATTGTCCATTGTACTGATCTACAATTAAACAGCAAAGTTTACTCAGTTTACAGGCAAAACATAGATGAAACCCAGACTGGTGTATTTTATTTTTGTATTTTGGGACCTAAAAAGATGGCAGGCTTACACCAGTGTAAATTAGAGGTGTAACTGGACAATTCTGTGTCTTGGGTGACAATGGGGCACAGGGCAGCAGCTACAGTCAGGCTGTCATTGGTGGTGTGGTGCCCAGGAGAACACTGGCAATAACTGCTATTTTTCTATGCCCCTTAAATCAGTACCCCTGGAGCTAGTGCCATAGTTGCCTCCCTCCTTACTTATGCTATTGATATAATCAGCCTTTGCATCAGGGTAAAAAAGAATTAGACAGATGATGGAAACCCCACACCAGGATAAAGTCACCCAATCTAGTGCAAAATTACATCTGAAAGGATTATAGAAAATCTGCACTCTTGGCAGGAGCACCTGGCTTCAAAGCAGCACTAACTTCAGGGGTCACGTTCATTGGCTTCAGGGTAGGCTGGGTTCAGATCTGAACACAGGCATGAATAAACTGGGCAGATGCCTGGGGCCCAAACAGAAAAGGAGTCCAACAATGAAAAAAAAATGAACAAAAATACATTACAATAGCAAAAAATTGTTTTAATATTGTGCACATATGGGACTGGCAATGTTATCAACTGACAGTGAGCTATATAAAGACACCAATACCACAGATGTGATAAAGACTTTTGCAGCAAAAAACTGCCGCAGAGTGGCGAAGCAAGGCCTGATACTAAAAGTTCACCCAGGGCCACCAGGAATCTAGGTACGGCATTGGCTGGGCTTACTATATAAGTCCAGTCCCTTCACTTGGCATTAGCTCCTTAATATTTCACATCTTGCAGCTCTCCCTCCCCATTTGTATTTTGAATTTCCTGGCTTTTGACTTCTGACACTGCCTGGACTATTGACATGGATATTTCTTACTGACTAGGACTTTAACTTGAACTATCTGGTCTTAGCCTTCTTGTGCAGCCTGGTCTGGATCTTTCTCTGGCTCAGAAACTTGTTTATCCCTGTGCTCCTTTAGACTCCCATGACCACATCCTCACACCAGCATTGCCTGTCTTCAGACTACAGTAAATTGGGGTAGAAATTTGCTCAAGGCTCACATTCTCTCACACTACCAACTTGTGCAGCAGCCATAGTGCCTAACAGTGCAGCTAGCCACCCTGGGAGAGCAGATTACTGGCTTGCTTTAGATTCCAGCATAAGTTACATGGGTGTACAAAATAGGTATCTGTTACACTGGTATATATGTGTCATCTGCTGAGGCTCTGAATTGGCATTACTATATAGACTGTCCAAGATTTAAAGAAAAGGATTTTCTTTTTTATTGCATCCTTTTGCATTTTAAAGCTTCTGTGAATGGTGTTGGAAAACTAAAAGAGGCTGCTGGATTCCTTGCAGTACTCATACCAAGGAGCTGTTCCACAATACTCAGACCAGTTTTCTGGCTGTCTGATGCCTACCTTTGGGTACCCACATTTAAGAACAGTTCATTCTCCCGTACCATCATGAAAACATTTTATTTCATGTTTTAAGTTATGCACTGACTTGCAAGGTGCATAGCTATATGTGCCCAGAATGACAATTAGCTATGTTAGCCTGAAGTCAGGCAGGTGGCAAGGTACATTTGCACCTTAAAGACCTTGCACCACATAAATCAGAGATGCATAAGCTTTCTTAAGAAGTAGTTTAATTCATCAGATGCTATGTAGGAACTGCAGGAAGCAGAGCTTCTGAACAGAAAGGAGTG